GAAGCAGGCTCCAGGCTCTGAGCGGTCAGCACAGAGCCCGACACGGGGCTTGAACTCACAGACTGTGAGATCATGACCTGAACCGAAGTCGGACACCCAACCGACTGAGCCACCCAGGCGCCCCTGTTCCTTGAGTTTTCAATAGCTTCATCACCTAGAACGCAACAACAGTCCATTTACCCCCCGCAACCCCCCACCATCTCTCTCAATAGTAAAATGTCCCTTTACCTTTGTTGTGGTACGGTCATTTCTGTGCGACCATTTGTTACTCGAACTTTGATAGGCATCACAGAACTAAATATAAAAGCTAAAATCATAAAGCACTTAGGAGAAAAACAATACCTTTGCAACTTGAAAGTAGGCAAAGATTTCTTAAACAGGACTCTGAAAGCAATAGCCATAAAATTTTTAAATGATGTAGGCTTTATCAAAATTGAAAATTCTTGTACATCAAAAGACCCCATTAAGAAAATATTTGTAGGCAAGTCACAGACGGAGAAAAATATTTGCAAAACATATCTGACAGAGGGCTGGGATCGAGAATACGTAAAGAATTTCTACAACTCAGTAATAAAAACAAAACAAAATGGGCAAAAGAACAAACACTTCACAAAGATTCACAAATGGCCAAATAGTACATTAAAAAAAAAAAAACCCACCTGATCTCATTAGTCATCATGAAAATGAAAATGAAAATCACACTAAAGTACCACGACACACACCAGAATGGCTAAAATTAAGAAGACACAATACCAAATGTTGGCCAAACTGCAAGTCCGTTCACGGGAGAATGAATAAACCAACATGACATATTCATAGAGGACAAATGCACTCAGGAATGAAAAGGAACAATCCACCGCTAAATACCACCACCTGGATGGATCTCAAAAGTTTTTTATGCTCTGCCAAAGAAGGCATAGTATATGGCTCCAATTATAAAAAGTTCTAGAACAGGCAAAACCAATCTGTGGTGGATAAAGGACAGTGACTGGGGAGCAGGTATTCGCTGGGGATGAGAGAAATTTCTCAGGTGATAGCAATGTTTTTCATGTCTTAATAGGGGCTTGGGTTACACACAGAAACGGAACCAACAGGAGAAATATACATATGCATACACGCACAGGTATATGTGGGTACGTGAGATTGATGATCAGGATTGGCTCACGTGATGACGGAGGCTGAGAAGTCCCACCATCTGCTGTCTGCAAGCTGGAGGCCTGGGAAAGTTGCTGGGAGGCCTGGGAAAGTTCCGAACTCTGATAGTGTAAGTCCTAATCAAGGGCAGGAGAAGATTGAGATCTCGGCCCAAGCAGACAGACGGACGGAGAAGGAGAGAACTCTCCCTTCCTCTGCCTTTTCGTTTTAGTCAAGCCCTCCATGGATTGGATGCTATCCCCCCCCCCCCCCCCCCCCACGCCAAGGAGGGCCAATCTGCTTTATTCAGTCCATCAATTCGAGTGCTGATCTCTTTTGGAAACACCCTCCCAGACACCCCCAGACACCACGTTTAATCTGGGCACCTTGTGTCTCGAGTCAAGTTGCCACATAAAATTCACCAGCAATCAAGGTCTGTGCACTTAATTGTAGACAAATTTTACTTAAAGGAAAAAAAAAATAAAGCTACCAACAAATGCATAGCTGTGGTTAACGGCATTGCGTGCTGAAGTGTTTGCAGGAAACAGTACCGATGTCTACAGCTTTGAAACGTACCAAAAAATAAAATGGGTAAATGACCGGGTAGAGACAGGGATGAGTATGTAATAAAACGTGTATAGTAAAGATGCTAACTGTAGACTATAGATGGCGAATATACGCGTTTCGCCGTAAAACGCTTTCGACTTTTCTGTACGCTTGAAAGTTTTCATAGTGAAATACTGGGGAGAAAAGATCTGCTTCTGCCCAAGCCCCGGCTCGCGGATCTCTCGGGCAAGTCGCTTATCCTGTTTCCCCCTCCAAAGGCAGAATATGGAAGCCTGTGTTGTCGGGTGCCCACCCTGGGCCCGACCTTTGGAGACGGGCAGTGAGCTCAGGGAGGGCCTGCGCCCAGGGCCCGGAGGTCAGTCATTTAATCGGATGGCTTCAGATCAGCCCCTCCTTCAGGCCGCCTTCTGTGTGATGGTTAAGATGATTTCCAAACGTGAAGGGAAGAAATAGAAGCCAATTTAGCCACCTGAAAAGGAAAACAGAATTCCTTTTCGTGCAAATAATGCCTTACCCCGCCAGGCCTCACACGGGCCTAACCTAGGAACCAGAATAAGGTGGGAAGCCAGCCACGAGCTCTTTCCTGGCTCCTGCCGTTGCTCCTGTGGCTGCCTGGCTGCTCTGTTCTTTCTTCTCAGTGGTCAGCTCCCCCTGGGCCACCCAGACCGGGTGGACTGGGGACAATGGTGGCCCACGGCCTCCAAGTTCACCTGTTCCAGCCACACTGCGAATGTGTCTTTCTCAGTCCCAGAGATCCCGGAGAAAAGATTTCACTCAGCTTGGGCCAATTCAATACGGTCAGAGAGCAGGGCCGGCGTATAAATCTAGCCCCTAGTGATGCCCGTCTCTGGGCAGCTGGGAGGGGAGGCAGTCACTGTGAGCTTTGGAGACATCCCCAAAGCTGGCTGCTTCTGTTGAGGTCATCCTGAGCAAGGAAGTCCATTTCAAACCAGCATAAGCCCAAGTCCAAGTAGGTGGTCCCCAGAGCATTATGGAAATCTACCCTACCTTATTTGGGGACGCCTCCTTCCAAACAGGGAAGGGAACGCTGTACAAAAATTGGGGTCCAGAAGGGGTGACAATGAAGGGAAATGGCTTTCTATAGATCCCTAAATCCCACGTGCCTCCAAGGACCCCCCAGCCCAGGATTCTGCGACGCTGTTTTTTCACTTGAAGAAGGATCATTCAGGGAGCTTGTTAAAAACATACATTCCCCTCATCTGCGCCCCCAGGGATTCTGAGGAGTCAGTGTGAGATCAGACCCAGGAAGCTGCATTCTTAACAGGCACTCAGGTGATTCTGATGTTCGTGGTCCCAAGTCGTATCTAGAGCAGCACCTTGAGGTCAACCATACACTAGGCATAACCACTCTGCCCCTCTCTGGGCTGCATCCTAAAGAGATTCCCAGAACCAAGCTGCCGTTGGGATTTAGGGGTCTGCAGTGAGTTATGACAGTAGAATGATGATAGAAAGAGAGGCAGATGTTTGGGGGCGTAGGAAGGTTTATCTCCGCGTCTGGTGGGAATGTCCGTAGCTCTGTCTATCCTTTGATGGCTTATTCTATTCTTTTACTTTTAGGATGGAAAGAGATGCCGCATTCACACAAAAAAAGGCAGAGAGGGCATGCCTCAGAGTCCATCTCAGAGAAAAGTACAGGCTCCCAAAGGTGAGACGCTCTATACACAGTAAGCATCCAATAATTTCTGAGATACTAGCACATGGAGAATGTTTGATTATCGGCAAAGGGTCACATTCATGAATACACACACACACACATACACACATTTGTTTGTCCTCGTTAAGGTGTTTGATGTCGTGAAAGAGCATTGAACTTGGAGTTCATGAAAAGTAGATTCCAATCATCTCACCTCTATAAACTTCCATTTTGTCTCAACCAAATGGAGCTAAAAGCCACAAATGCTATTTTTATGTAAATTTATGTAAAGATTATAGAACTTCTCTGTGTAAATACACAAGGAGGGTATAATCACTGGTATTTAATATCGCTGGTATTTGATAACACAAAATAATGTGTCACATGATAATGTTCTATGGGCTGCGTGCATATCAACCCATTTAATCCTCGAACAGTCCTCTGGGGTGGTTCTATTATCACCTCCGTTTTATGGTAGAGGAAGCAGAAGCATGGAGGAGGTCAGTCCGTCCTGCCAAAGGCCACACAGGCAGGAAAGGCAGAGCCCAAGACCTTCTACCATATTCTGCCTGTATTTCAAAGGAACGGTCTGTTCCTTCTTTATGGAGGTGATGTCATCACCCCGCACTAGGCGTCTATCCATCTCGGTGCTGGCGGTGAGAACGAACACCTGTAGATTCTGGTCAAGTCCTGGTTTACGGATGGGAAGAGAATGTGTGGCCATGTTACGGCAGGCTCAGATGCACGGCTCCCATGGGTCCCCTGCGGGTCCCCCGAAAGCTGACTTCAGAAGCTACAAGCACTAATCGAAGGGGGAGAGAGAGCTTGGCTGTCCCTGCAAGGTCAGTGCTGAAGTCACCCAAGAGTTAAATTTAGCCCCAACTTGTGGGGGAGACTGGCCCCTTAGATGCCCTACGAACCATGTTCTGCTCTCACAGAGGGAAGGAAAACTCACAGTGAGATTTAAACATTTTCACAGCAACCATCGAATTTTGAAAAGCGCGTCTTTGCTTTTTGCCTCCCTGATTCCGGCCTCATGCTTTTTTGCGTTGTGCTTGCATCTTGGAAGAGTGGGGCACTAGACACGGTCCCCGCCACTCCCATTGTCTAGTGGATTATCCAAAGCTCCAGGGACAGCACTGGCCGTCTTGAGGAGAACCGGGTTTTAAGTCCGGTGCAACCTCAGATGGCTTTTTAAAATATCTGGGCCTCAGTTTCCTCATCTGTAAAATGGAGACAATGACACCTGCTTCACAAAGTCTTTGTCTGAGCTAACATCGCGTAAAGGACCTCGTACAGCCACCTGCCTAAAGGAAAGAGCTCAACAGAGGACAGCTCTTATTTCGCTGTAATTATCTCTATGCCCAGAAGTCTTATGTCTTCCTAATAAGAGCTGGGGGTCTCAAAGACCTCGCGGAAGCACACTGATATGTGCAAACGGTGCAACAACTCGAGGTCAAGAATCTGAGCTTCTGCTTGCTTTCTCCCCACGGAGGTCTCAACGGTCTTGCTCATTTCCAGAGCCTCAGGGATGAGCACCTCACGCAAGGCTCAGCAGCATGGCCCTGACGGTCTTCAAAGAAAAAATAAGTACCAGATGCCTGAGTCACGCTATCCCTTGGGACAAGAGCCTCTCCCAACAAAAGCTATAAAAAGAGGACAGAATTATAAGCCACGAAATGTGCACGTTCATATCCTCTCTGGAGAGAATCAGGCCCAGGGGAGTGGCAGTGACTGTATCTGCACAGGCTTCTGCTCCCTGAAACCAGCTGGGGGTGGGATGCGGGAGCGAGAAGAAGTCAAGAAATTGTCAACAGTGGAGCCCAGGATCTTTCATTGCGTGGTTTACCAAGGCTCATATACCCCCCTTTCCCATAGCTGCTTCAAATGTATAATGCGTGTGAGACCCCACCTGATTTTTTTTCTTCGACCCCGAGAAAGACCTATGAGCTCACCTAAGAATCTAATGTCACTGTCTCTTTTTAGACATGAGGGAACTGCGGCCCCCCGGGGGGGTCAGGTTGCTTGGCAAAAACCCACAGCTACTGACCGACGGAACCGGGATGGGAACGTCGGCCTCTCAGCCACGAAAAAGCGTGCCTTACGAAAGGGTTTGAGCACAGCTCCCTCTGGCCCCCCAAGGTCTCTGCGATCGCTACTCTCAGCGTTCGAGGTGTCCCCAAAGTTTAAGCGCAGTTTTGTGGCTTAAACCTGCGTGAAGGCTTTGGGGGCGGCCTGTACTGCTCAGGAGTTCAGTGAATCCCACCCAAAGCCCGGCAGACACCCGGCCTCTCCCCCTCCTGGGTCGTCTGATGGCTTCACCCGGGACCTGGGAGCCGCTACTAAATTCCAAATACAATCCAAAGAAATAGATGAGGATATCCCTTGAAAGCGTTCCACACTTACTCTTTCCCTGCAGTTTGCTTTCAGATGGGGGCCTCCCTGGCCCTCTTTGATATTATGGCTGCATTTTGTGAAAATGGACTGATGCTGCACAACGTTGTGAGGATAGACCTGTGGCGTGAAAAAAATGCTAAAAATACCAGCAGGGCAATTGCCTGCTTTTCGCACAGCACGTGGAAATTCCAACCCAATTACACTGCCCATAAAACAGTAATCAATAGAAAATGTATCCTACAACCCCGCCGCTCTCCTCTTCCGCTTTGTCCCGTTGTCGCCAGGTGTGACAAACGCCCCCACGTCGATGCGGCACCTTACCCGGTGAAGTCCAGCCCCACCCTTGGACACCCCCTCCGTCTCCCGTGGCTGTTACAGGCCACACGTTCCCCTCGCACCCGCCCCATCCGGGCTCGGGGCGCAGCGGGCCTTCCGGACCCGATCCCCTGCCCAGGGTTAGAAGGATGCGCTGGGGGACAGACGCGTTTGCCAGGCTGAGATCAGCCCCTGGCCGGCAGCTTCCTGTCCGTGCAGAGCGGCCAATCCTATGGTGACAGGAGCCGGGCCCCGCGCGCCCCCTGGTGTCCCTAACGCAGCGCGCGCGCGCGCGCGCGCCGCCGCAGGGAACGGCCCCGCCGCTCTGATCAGTTCTTCCGCGCGGTCTGTGGGTTGTAGCAGGGACCCTGGCGGTGGGGGACAGAAATAAATGTATGGACGTGAAGTTTTTTTTTTTTGAGGGGGGGGAGTCTATTCGGTTGCTGCTAAGGACCAGATTGTGCATTGTATTGTGAAGCGGTTGCTGCGCTGGCGCCCCTGGAAGGGCCCGGTGGGCTCTCCAAGGAGCAGCTGTCACAAAACAGGAGGTGGCAAGCGCCCGTGAGGGGCCCCGTGTGGGGACAGGCTGGGAGGGGAGTGTCCGAGCAGCGGGATCCTCCCGTGGTGCGCCAGGACGGAGAGCCAGAAGACAAACTGGTGTTAGCCGTCTCCGCGGTCAGCAGGATGGAGAGGGATTTTGAAATGCCAGTGACTGAGGGCGAGGAGAAGGAATTGGAATATTCAGCCCTGACGTCGGGGAAATCACCACTGTGGGGGGCAGTCTTTCCCTGGGCCTTGAAAGCCGCGCTTGGATTCTTCTACCGGACCAGGCCAACTTATCTGGAGGGGCCCGGGCTGCTCCATATTTGGAGCTGGATGTAACTCTTAGGTGTTCCTTGATTGTGCAGAAGGACTCCCGGAACCTTTAGAATGCCACCCCAAAACCATAATGGGGCTTGAAGTTTCAGGTCTTTATCTCCTGGATGTTCCCATGAGGAGCAAGGGGGCTCTGGAACCTCCGGCAGTGCCCCCGGGCATCGCTGTGATTGGGAAAGCTCCAGGCCACGGCAGTGTGTCCAGTGACCCAGGGAAAGGAATGAGGGGCTGGTGGCCAGCGCCACACCCTTGGAGCCGCAGGGGAGGCCCGGCCAGGAGCTGCCAGGCTAGAGACGGGGCAACAGACCCCCTAATCGTTATGTACATCCTCTTCGTGGGGCTTGGCATCTTGATTACTTCACTTAATTAATTACTTATCTGAGTACTGAATTAAAACCAGCCATCCTGCTGTGTGTGTGTGTGTGTACATATATATCATTCAGCTCTAAAAAATGGAAATCTTTCCGTTTACAACCACATAGATAGGCCGGGAGGGTGTTATCCTAAGTGAAATAAGTCAGACAAAGACAGTACTGTATGATCTCACTTGTATGTGGAATCTTTTAAAAAAAGAACTCGAGGGCGCCTGAGTGACTCAGTCAGGTCACGATCTCGCAGTTCATGAGTTCGAGCCCCGCGTCGGGCTCTGTGCTGACAGCTGGGAGCCTGGAGCCTGCTTCCGATTCTGTGTCTCCCTCTCTGTCTGCCCCTCCCCTGCTTGCACTATCTCTCTCTGCCTCTCTGAAAAATGAACAAACATTAAAAATTTTTTTAAATAAAACTAAAAAAAAAAAAGAAGAACTCATACAGAGAAGAGATTGGTGGTTGTCAGAGGTGGGCGGAGGTGGGGGTGGGGTGGGTGAAATGGGTGACGGTGGTCAAAGGGTACAAACTCCCCAGTTATAAGTCCTGGGGATGGAAGGCAGGGCATGGCGACTGTAAAAAAAGGTCATCAAAAGACATTGGTAAGGACAAATCCTACCAATTGTAGGATTTTACTCGTTGTTAACAATCAGCCATAACCTCCGGGTGTGGGACACCTCCCGCCTGTCCAAGCTCTCCTTCTGGAGCAGGTGTGGGCTCCTGGACCGCCCCTGGTACTCGGCTCCTTGACCCCAGTGTCTGAATGGTATTTCTATTTTCATTAAACTTATTTTTCACATGTCTGAAAAAGCCCATGTCACTGCATAATCATAAAGCTCATTTAAATCAAGGGACTTGCCCAAGGTCACACCTCTTACTGTGCCACACAGACCTCCAGCCTCCTGATTCTTCTACCCAGTGCTCTCTGTGTCCCATGCTCCCTCCACCGTCTCGAAACCATATCTCCGCCCGGAAGGGTGGCCTTGAGAACGAACACAACCGTCCAACAAGAAAGCAGTGCTGGGCAGAAAGCAAGAGGCACCAGGACCTTCCTGAGCTCC